TTTTAGTAATACAGAGATGAGTTAATGTCAGCAAATTTATCTGTGTACTTTCACATTAACAGACCAGAAAAGAATTATCTTATGATCCTCTTAGTTAATAGTGGAAAAAGGACTGGAGAACATTAAAAATAAGCAGGTATTGAAATCCATACCAACAAACCAGAAAAAGAAAAAAGCATGAACTTAATAAAGGTTATATACCAAAAAGCTATAGCAAACACTATATTTAATGGAGAAATTTTACACATATTCCCATTAGGAAAAAAAAACAAAAAAAACAAGACAAAGATGCCAGCTTATCACTGCTACTTATCATAATACTAGAGGTTTTGGCTGGCACAATAAAAGTAGAAACAGATGAGGATTAGTAGAGGAGCCAGAACTGTCATTATTTTAGGATGACAGTTTAAGAAAGTCCAATATGCAACAGGAGTTCAGCATGCCTACTAGATGAACACATAAAAAATGATCATTATGAAGCCTGAAAGACTCAAAACAGCACCAAATCTTTATATTTATAAATTAACAGAATGCAGGATGTGTAAGCCTTCAATAAAGAAAATGTAAAGCTCTTTCACAGAACAGATACAAAAGAAGACCTGACTATCATGTTCATGAACATAAACAGATTCCCATGATCCACAAACTTAACGCACCTCCAACCAAAATAACAAAAATACTTTTTGATTTTGACAGATTAGAAAATTATACAAAAGATAGGGAGCAGGAAAACAGAGACCAATAAAAACATTTAGTTTTTTTTTAAGAGAAAAAAACACATAAGTCACAGAATAAGATAGCACAATGCCATTCAGAGGAAAAAAATGCATCACATATTGAAAATCCTAAAAACTACAACAAAAAATATTAAGAAAAGTTCAGTCAAGTTGCAAGATATGAAATCAATATACAAAAATCATTTGCATTTGTATTCACCAACATTAAACTATCAGAGAAATTAAGATAGCAATGTCATTTACAATTCTACCACACCAAGATAATAAATATATAAATAAAAATAAAAACAATCCACCGAGGAATACACTGAATCCAGGAGATGAAAGACATGTACACTAAAAGCTATAAAACACCGATGAAAGCAACTGAAGAAGACACAAATACATGAAGAAATTTCTGTGCTAATGGATTGGGAAGAATTAACACGTATTGTAAAAATGTACATACTACGCAAAACAATCCACAGATTCCATGCAATTCCTAAACAAATTCTAATTTTTCACAAAAACAGAATAGACAATCTTAAAATTTGTATGAACCACACAAGACCCCAAATAGACAAAGCTATTTTGAGAAAGAACAAACCTGGATGTATAACTTTCCTGAATTTCAAACTCTATTACAAAGTATACTAACTGACACAATATGGTATCATCCTGACTGGTATGGGTTAGTGGGCTGAGTGTCCTGCAAACCGAAAGGCTGACGGTTTGATTCTCAGTCAGGGCACATGCCTGGGTTATGGGGCAAGGTCCCCACTTGGGGGTGTGCGAGGGGCAACCAATCAATGTTTTTCTCCCTCTTTCTCCCCCCCTTCTTTCTCTCTCCCTTCCTTTCTGAAAATAAAATGTTAAAATTAAAAACAAAACAAAAACCAGCATGGTAATGGCATAAAAACAGACACCTAGGTCAATGGAACAGAACTGAAAGTCCAGAAATAAATCCATGCATATATACGGTCATTTAATTTATGACAAAAGAGCCAAGACTATATAATAAGGAAATGACAGTGTCTTCAATAAATGATGTTGGGAAAACTGAGCAGCCAAATTCAAAATAATTAAATAAGACCACTATCTTATACCACACAAAATAATGAACTCAAACTGACTTAAAGACTTGAATATAAGACCTAAAACTAACTACAAAGACTCCTAGAAGAGAACGTAAGTGGTAATAATAAGCTCCTTGACAGTGGTCTTGGCAATAACTTTTGGAGCTGACTCCAGAGGCAAAGGCAAGAAAAGCAAAAATAGAAAGTGGGACTACAGCAAACTAAAAGACTTGGGCACAGCAAATGAAATCATCAACAGACAATAAAACCACTTATCGAATGGGAGGAAATTTTTGCAAATCATGTACCATGTATATACATATACCATGTATAATGAGCATTTTGCCCAAATTTTTGAGGGAAAAATAAGGATGCACATTATACATGGATAGTACTAATTGTATATCTATTTAAATGTTTCTCTTTTATTTATACTTATTAAAAGTGTAACTCTAGAAAGCAATGATATCCATATGCAAAATAATACCCTGGAATACGATAATTGGTTTTGTTTCTAAATATAAACAAACAAACAACTGAATTGAATAATTAAAATGAAAGATTTTTTCCTGGAAGTTTGGGCCAGAAATATGTGTGCATTATGCATGGCAGAGTATTATACACAGCAAAATCTGGCATCTGATAAGGAGTAAGTATCCAAAATACACAAAGAACACATAATCCAATTAAAAAATAGGCAGAGGATCAGAACAGACATTTTTCAAAGAATAAATACAGATAGCCAACAGGCACATAATAAGATACTCAATGCCACTAATCACCAGGGAAATTCAAATCAAAACCACAAATATCACCTCATATCCATTAGAAATTACTATTATCAAAAAGACAACAAATAGTGTTGAAGTGATGTGTAGAAACGGAAATCCTTGAGCACTGCTGGCATCAAAGCAAACTGGTATAGCCATTATGGAAAATATGAAGGTTCCTCAAAATACTAAAAATGGAACTACCATATGAACCAGCAGTTTCACTTCTGAATATTGATCTGAAGAAAACAAAAACACTTTAAGATACAAGCACCCTCATGTTCAATGCAGATTTATTACAACAGCCAAGATATTGAGATAACTTAAGTGTCCACCAATGGATGAAATGGATAAAGATGTGGAACATATACACAATAGAATACTATTCAGTCATACAAGAGAATGATGCCTTGCCATTTGCAACAACATGGATGGACCTTGAGGGCATTATGCTTAAAATCGTCAGACAGAGAAAGGAAAATACCCTAAGATTTCACTTATATGTAAAATCTGAAAAAAACAAACCAACACACAAATACCCTAAGCTCATACATACAGTGAACAGACTGGTTGTCAGAGGGGAGGGGTGGGAGACAGGTGAACAATGGGTGGAGGATGTCAAAAAGGTACAAACTTTCAGCTATAAAAGAAATGTAACAGGGATGTAATGTAAAGCATAATGACTACAGCTAAGAATACTGTATCAAACATCTGAAAAGCTGTTGTGATAGTAAATCTTAAAAGTACTCATCACAAGAAAAAAATTTTAATTTGTATGGTAAGGGATGTTAACTATTTTATTCTGATCATTTCACAATGTACACAAATACTGTCCCATTTATGTTATATAACTGAAACTAACACACCAATTTAAAAAAACAAATAAAAACTTAAAAATTCAAGGAAAAGAAACACAAAATAAGCTGCATACACACAAAAAATCATCAACATTTCCTAATATAAACATGTCTTAGGACATGTATCCAAGTGATCACCACTGCAGGTGGCGGGGGTGGGGGGGATTGAGGAATGGGAGTGAACATGGAGAGTAATAACGAAAAAATGTGAGGAACCCTCCATGGATCAGTGATAATGACCATAATATGAAGCATACAAGTAACTCAAATTTATGTATCTGAAATCTAAAAAAAATTACAACAGTAAGTTTTCAAACAAATACATAATATTTTGGGGTGGAAAAGTTTGAAAGAAAAGTATGAAAATGTCAATCCTCCTAAAATTGAAAGGAATCACTATCATTAGTCAAAAATAAAATAAGGCAGTTGTAATGGAACAGTATCAGACAGATACATTATAATCACTCATCTGTTACAGCAAAGACACAAGAAAGCTTAAAATATTTATATACATTTCAGTTAAAAGAATTCCCCCCAAATTTAAAATATTTACATATTTGCAATTAATTTACAGCTTTCTGCATTTCTTCAACTGGGAGATAACAGTTACCTCCCAGGACTATTATTCTGACTAAATGAAATTATACATATAAACTCTTTATTTTCATTCCTGTTTAGAAAAAACAAAAAAAGCCACTAAGGCTAAAGAATGAGGCTATTAAAAATATAAAAAAGCCACATTTAAGTGAGGCCTCAGGCTTATTGTTTTCCCAAAACACCACAAAAATGTATGATAGAATACCTTAAACAGAGACATTAGCAAAAACAACCAGAAGATACTACCTTAAAAAAATCAAGTGTTGAGGAAAAAATTGTATCATAATAATATAATTATTTTCATTTCTAAGGAAAACCAAGCAATTCTGAATATTCACTTGTCTTTCTGACACTGTGTTAAGGAAGGTAGAAGCAAAACAAGCATTTTAAATTACTATGTATTAGTAACAGTCTACATTAGGTTTACAGTAATTAATAAGGTTACATAAATATTTGTATGTAAGGGTACTAAGGTAATGCTTAAACTAAAAGTTACCATATTAATTATGGTGCACCTACAAAGTTAATTTCCCTTCTAGCTGTGATGGGTAGAATTCAAATCCTTATAAAAACTAATATAGATTTGATTCCCATTTCTCTAGTTAGGTCCCATCAAAATCAGATTTTAAAATAAACCATTCAACCCTAGCTGGTGTGGTTCAGTGGACTGAGTGCCAGCCTGAGAAACAAAGGGTCACCAGTTTGATTCGCAGTCAGGACACAAGCCTGGGTTTGTGTGCCAGGTCCCCAGTTGGGGGCATGTGAAAGGCAACCACCCATTGATGTTTCTCTCCCTCTTTCTCCCTCTCTTCCCCTCTGTAAAAATAAATAAATAAAATCTTAAATAAATAAATAACTCACAGAATTTTTCAACATTTGGCACAGAAAGGAAAAGGGTTCAACTTAGCAGATACTTAAAATAGAAATAAGGATCAATATAGTAGGCTAAAGGAGTATGATGAAATATGTTCCAGAAGTACTTACTGCGCCTGATGTACCTTTAAAAAAAAAAAGAGGGGGAACAATATTTACAATGTGATAAATCATGCTCTCCTTAATAGTTTAAAAACATTTAATAGTGCTATTTCTTTCACTTCATCCCATCACACTAAATATCCTAAAACTGTGCATATGACCTATGTGCTTGCACTTTCCAATAAACAAACATGTACAGTGCAAGGAATTTCAGAATTAAGTGGCACATTGAACTTTCAATCTGCAAACCAAGAGCTGGTTTGGGGAGTATTAATATATTTGCCTTTTTTTCCTCTTCTTGCTATCAGAGGTCACGACCTCTTTTTCCGCTATATGAGGGGGAACCCCCCCAAAAAACAGAATTTATAAAAAATTGAGTATCTATTCTTATATATTTAAACTTCAGTCACCTTCAAAGTATTCTCCATCTGATGCAATATACCTATTGAGGCTTTTTCTCCCTACTCAGAGAGAGTTTCTGAATTTTTCAATTTTGATGTCCTTTAGTGCTTCTGTCATTTTTTTTTTTTTTTTTTGGTCTCACCACTTCCACATTGGCGAATCGTTTTGTTTTAAGGACTTTTTTCATTTGGAGAATAAAAAAAAAGTCACTTGGGGTGAGATTAGGTAAATAGGGAGGGTAAGGCATGGGGATCATGATGTTTTTGGTCAAAAACTGCTGAACACTCAGCATGGTGTAGGCAGGCGTGCTTGTAAGTCACCCATCATGAGATGGGCAAACACATTTTGCAAAGTCTTAAAAAAAAATTCACTGAAGCCAAATGCAGCCTCTCGAAACATCACCAGGTGGTACACTGATACAGATGGGTTCCTAGAATACTCACCCACAGGGGAAGCCTGTGCTACAAGGGGCCTGTGCTCCAGGAGGGTTTTTTGGGGTCCCTCCTAGTTTATAATACTGAAGTAGAAAAATACCTCGAACCTCTGACCCTATGTTTTAGACTTATGGCAACTTCAACTATCTAGGTTCCACTGAGAGCAATTAAAAGCTACTATGGACTAACAGTAGAGCCAATGTATTTAAAAAGTAATTAAAAAGAAATGTTAAGGTAATTATTTAGGGGAATAGCAATCACCTCTACGTATCTAAATATGCTAAAACATTACATTAGGTATTTTAGAACATCATTTCAGCTTAAATAATGATACTTGTGAAACCTCTTAAAAACATCAATTGTGTCCCCTATAAACTTGCAGGAAAGCACATGGTGCATTTAAACATGTTGTGATCTATAATGTTTAAAACAAAATATGTTTTGAGATAATCACAGGACACAGTTTAACATATGAAATACTAATTTATGTGGAACATTATTGCTGACAAATAAATGAGGCATGACTATTATATATTAGGCACACTAGTCAAAACAAACACTGATAACTGAAGAAAAAAATTAGCACAGGACTTATACACTGCAATGACTACAAGGTCCAAACAGGTAGCAGAAAAATGGCTGAGAAGAAGTCCAGAAGGCTAATAAGCATACATGTTCAACATCTAAAGTATGGAAGCGCTACCCCACTCTACAATGTTTGCTGAGTGCAAATATGAACTCAATCACAGTTTTTCACTCAAATATCCTTTACTGTGTTCACAAGGACTATTATAAACAATACTCAGATCATCCAATTTTTCAAGAGAAATCCAATCTTTGGGTAAAAAGCTGTATCTAAGATAAATCCAAACTTTACATAAAAACCAACAGACTTTAGGTGTTAGCAACTAATTATAAAATTTAAAAACATCGTGTAGGCCAAAGCATACCTGTAGACCAAATTTGGTCCCAGAACTCTGGACCTAAAATTAGTTTCTTATGGATTCAATTATGAATGCTATCCCTATTTCCCATTGCTTTAAAAAAAAAAAATCATGAGCTGATTATAAAGCCCAAGAAACACTGCTTTCATTCCTCTTTAAATTATGGTAGTTACTATTCAAAGTAGTTTAATAAATACCACCATAAATAGTATACATACCTGCTGCTACATCCATGTTATTTACTCCTGGCTATAAGAAAAAAAAATAAAATTACTAACATTTACCTTTTTTACACTATATTTTACATTCCTCATAAAGAATAATCAGTCCCCTCTGTGCATAATTCTCAAGCCACTGACTCAAAGATTTTTTTGTAGTTTTAGTGGTCTAAGTTCACCTGGAACCACTGAAACCTTTAACTGTTATATTTATATTTATACAATCATTAATTATACACAGATCCACAATCCTTCATCCACAATTCTGAAATCAAACAGCTCTGAAAACAAAGTTTTTTTCAAGTTTGACACTAAAACTCATTATAGTGGCAAAAATCTGTCCTGAATAAGATGAAATCTTTAATCTGTATTTACCCCAGGTCAGAGGGAATATCCCTAAGTTTTGCTATGTAAACGTTATGCTGGAAATTGTAAGGCACTGCCCAAAACCCTACGGAAATTTGTATGTAATATATAGAATATGTTATATATTACTTAGAATATTAAAAAAAGATTTGAAATATATCTGGTCCTAGGGGTTTGGGGTAAGACAGTAGGGGTTTTGGATGGGGTGAGTGCAAACTTACCACTCCAGTGGAGTATGTCATATCTGTTCATTACAACCACTAGGCTATCATGTAATAAAGAAATTGTACAAATTTGAATATATTGATTTATATATTGCTATTACTACCCAATAAAGGTGATACAACTATTCAAAAATTTTCTAAATAATGTGTTACAACTGAAGTCTCAAGAAATAATAAATTTCAGATGCAATCTTTTGTTTTCTAAATCTAAAATCTAGTATTAAATCATATCAATTTTCAACTGGCACTCAGTAAAGCAAATGTCTACACTTTAATAGATTATAATGCTAGCAGACCAATAAAATACTTCTAGCTCACAAATTATGCTTTTCAGTATTCCAGTCTTGTTTAAGCTAGAATTAATTTAATAAATAAGGATGTCCATATACTGTAACATATATGTAGGAAAAAATGTAAATGTTCATCATTCAAAAACTAAAAACAAGAGTCCACTATAATTCCCCTCTTACAGTACACCAGAGGCACTTAAAAAGCTGATATAATTGCCTATAAAATACATATATATTATTTCATATATAAAAGTAATCAAAACATCACAACAAAAGTGTTTTCTCAAGATTACCGGTAAGGCAGGCTGCATGGAAGCCTGAGACATATGAGACATCATCATTCCAGGCATTACTGAAGACATCATTCCAGGCATCTAGAACAGAAGTTTAAAAAAACAAAAAAGAAAAGAAAAAAAAGGTTATTACGTAAGACCAAAGTACTTAATATGACTTGAAAAATCTAGATCTGATTATTAAAGCTAGTATGCACAACTTAAGATTAAAACCCAGTGAGCACTATATTACAGAGATAATATGCTTAGTAAGTGCTTGTTGAATGAATGAAGTACTTTATCAGTGATCTATTTTAATGCTTATGTCGTAATTTCTATGCCTAGTCAAAATCATTTTAACAAACTTAAAGTTGAGACAATTATGTTACTTGTAGGGTAAATTTAATATTAATTTCCTTTAAATTTTAGCTCACCACTCATTCTTTTCTCTTTTTTTGGGAACAAATCTCTTTCAGTATTTTCACCTTTAATTTTTAATATCTAAATGAAGTAATTTTTTAATTCTTTGGTCCTTCATAACATTTTTAGATCAAAGGTGTTTAAATTCGGTGATTTAAGAAAACACATAAAAAGACTTCTCAAACACAAATTATCTCTACCTGCTCTGGTAAAGAAAAAATTAAGAATATACATGAATATCTGAAGAAAAATACCAGTTTGGGAGATTAGTCTACCAATGACTGCCATCCAAATACATAAGTTAATCTTCCCTAATAAGCATGAATAAAGATCATGAAAATTAACAAATTTTCCATAGGATTCTGACCCTATTCTCATGTATATTAACGTAACCCCACATTTTAATTTGATTTTACTATGAACACATCTAAAGAAAACATAGAAAGTGACACAAATTGTATAAAACAATCATATGTACTTAAGTAAATGACCAGTTTATTCAACAGCTGCAAATTAAATGAACAATTTGAAAAATAGGAATGATGAAAAATAAAAAGCATATTGATCAATAGGGACATAATAAAGCCACTAAATATAGATGAGATCACCCACACACTGAATTTTATTACTTGTAAAAGTCAAGTTAGTCAAGTCATGAAGCAAAACCAGGCTAAAGTACAATTAAAATGAAGTAGCATTGTATCGGTGGGTTAAAGGAAGTTTTTTTTTGCCCCTCAAAACATTAAACAAACTGTTTAAACACCACTAAACAAGAACTTGAAAGAAAACATGACTAAAATTTGGACTATGTGATCAAAACATCATTTTTTAAAAAAGGTACCGAATTTGAAAACCAAAGTTCTGACAAGCCTCCACCACCCACACCAATACAATAATAGAGGTAATTTATACATTAAGGGAAAAAATAAAGTGATCAAATGAGAACTAGGCTTGTTCCCGCTCCTCCCCAACCCCTAAAGACATGCCCTTACATTAATTTTGCTCAAGGTAACAGCAAAGTAAGTTTGAATCCTTAAGTACTAAGTAACTGATTATGGGGAAGAAGCATGGTGGGCAACAAAGAGAAACAGCCTGCTATCTAAAATGGCCTGTTTCTAAGTCAAAAGCTAGTGTACATCTAAAAACCAGAATTCTAAGCTAAATTGAGAAACTGAAGTTTGAAAACTTAACTGAAGAACAAGTCCAAGTATACTCTCATAAGAATTAAAGAAATTAAGAAATGTGGGGTAAAATCTCCATCATGTAACAGGCCATTTCCACATGACAGCAGTACAAAAAAATGTAATTTCAAATTGAAATACTGAGTTCCTAAGACAAACAAGCGATCAAATCCCATTTAGAAAACAAAGTTTACTAGACAAGGCAAATGACACACCAGATATTTGAACATCATTAAGGGACAGAGTTAGAATTTTCTCAACTGTTCTTCCCACACTTCAAATTTTAAAACATCCAAAAATTTGCCTTTAGACTAGAACTCATGGTGTTTATGGGTTACAGAATGAGATTTAATTTCAAATAAAAAGCTAAATTCTCACTCAGTATCTCTGTAAATTCTGAGGAGTGGCAACTGGGTATGTTTTTTCAACTGGACAAACACGGGCAACATTCTTAAATCACCTACAACTGATTATTCCAAAATTAAATAGGCCATTAATATAATTTAAAACCAAAACTGTGATGTTATTTTGTTTTTTAAAACCAAAGAACAAACACATAAATATGCCAAGTACTATGCTGCTTATGAAAAGCTATTACAAAGGTTTGACAACGGCACTTCCAGATGCTTGGGCAACACTGACAAGCCTATCTTCCAGAGCCTGCAGAATCTACTTTGTGGAAATGTTATGATTTCCGTTTTTCATTAATTCCACAATACACATAATATGGAGATGCATGCTTCACCCCCATCTAAAGCTGAATTCTTCCAGAGGCTTTGTTCTGACTTAGGCCAGTCACATGGTAGTGCCATAAACTTGAGACCATTAAAATTTTTTAAGTTACTATTTTTTTGTTTTAACACCACACTAGTAATGTGAATCTAGGCTGCAAGCTTATGAAAACTGGCTCGTGGTTCCAATCCTCGGAAATGATTTTTCTTTCCTCTGCCCAATAACCAAAGTTGAGACAGTCAAGTTACTTTGCTGTCCCTTTTTGATGGTAGGTTTACTTCTTTCTTGCTTCATATGGACAGAAAAGCACTTTGGTGTCCCAGCTTTATTTGTAAGAGAATTTTAGACTTTCATTTTAGGCCATAGGTGGCAAACACAAGGCCTGCGGGCTGATTCAGCCCTCCATATTGTTTTACCAGGCCTGGCACCTTGTTTCTATCCTGAGGCAGCACCAAGCGCTTTGCCCCTAGTTAAGGAGCAGTGATATTTATACAGTTCTAAAATTACATTTGACCCTTGGAAGGCAACCACAAAGCTGATGTGGCCCCCAGTGAAAATGAGTTTGACACTCCTGTTTTAGGCTTATTTTTCATCTTGTTTTAGGGAACCGTAATACAATGGAGTGTCTCATGAATGACGACACTGTTAATTCAATGAAATGGGATACTGGCTCAAAATCATTCAAAAGAAAAATTCTTAATGTAGTTGCTACAACACCACCACAACAAATTCCATAAGCCAGATCATTCTTAAAGTTACAAAGTGATAGTTATATAAGCTTAATGTGAAGCACACTGTAAAATCACAATGATGGCCCTGGGCAGTGTGGCTCAGTTGGTTGGAGCATTGCCCTACTGGGCAATTCGATTCCCAGTCAAGGCATATACCTATGTTTTGGGTTTGGTACCCTGTCCCAGGCACATATGGAAGGCGACCAACTGATGCTTCTTTCACGTCAATGTTTTTCTCTTTCCCTTCCCCTCTCTCTAAAGAGCAATTTAAAAAAAATGTCCTCAGGTGAGGATTTAAAAAAAGAAAACACAACCATGATTTTCACAAATCTCAATTTAAGCTATTTTGGTAAATAAGTGCTATAATTAAGAGTTTCTAGTTATTAGGAGACAGAGAAAATGGAAGGGTGAAAGACATTTGTGAGATGTAAGCTAAGCTACCTAAAATATTACAAATCTGAATTTTATGGACACTTTGGCACCTTTTAAAAACAAAAAGTAATTCAGATATACAATTTGATACACTTTATTCATAAGCGGCCAACCATCTGTGTATGTGTATATATATTATATAAACAATTTTATGTATAGTTCTATACTTGTAATGATAAGATTACTTATCAAGATGCTCTCAGAAGCCATCCGAAAAACAAACAAACAAACAGACAAACAACTCTCAGAAGAATCACCAGTGTGAAGAAAATAACAACCCAATAAAAACTAGGGAAAACCACAAAATCAGCTTATTCTTAGCATCCCAGTTTGAAAAGTTTCTAATGTTAGATTGAAGGAAAAAAAAAAGCATGCTTCATTTATTACTCTAGGTATGTTTTAAAAAGATATGATACTAAAAGCAGTCCTATCACTGCTACAGCAAATTAATTGTACAAATGTAAACTAAATTAGTCCAATTTTATTGTGATCTGAAAACAAAAGGAAACATCTTCATAGATACTTCAAAAGATTATTTTTTAAATAATTATTTCCCAAAGTTTTCCTGTTGGAAAGAAATCATACAATCTAATTTATTTTTGTTTAAACATTAACTCAAATTTCATTTTTAAAAACCATTCTTGCTGCAAACCTGCAGTTGCAAACTAATTATTGCAGTTACAAATTAACTGAGAAAGTTTGATTCTTGCATTTTTACTTGATTCGTTTTAAATGTGTCAAATTTCACAAAGTATACTCTACAGAGGCTATTAAGTGTACCATTTAAAAACAAGTGTCTTCTATATCACTAACTTACCTTATGAATATATGAATGAAAAAATTAATCTATGAATAACTGCAAAACAATTATTTTTTTAATTTAACCAAATATTCATTAAACTGGAAATAGGAATATCTGTATTTAAAGCATATCCATAACAAACCAAAGTAAGTAGCTGCATATAACCCATCAAGAGTTACATATAAATTCAAGGCATTTACAGTTTTTTCATAAAAGAAATGTTTAGATAACCAAAAAACAGCACTGGCTCTGCAAACTGTTACCACATGAAATAGATTATCATTTATTTAATAAGTCAAGTGTCAGTATTTAAAATTAGTTTGCTCAATTCCCTCAAACCTGGGGAGTTTAGAATTGCGTAAGTCCAACTGACCACCTGAACAAATGGGCTAGGGGTGTCCATCGTGCAGTCTTAAAATCCACAGGTAATTTTTGATTCCCCCACAAAGTAACTACTAATAGCCTATCAATGACCAGAAGCCCCATCGATAACATGGTCTATTAACACACATTATGTGTATTATATGTATTTTACATGGCATTCTTACAATAAAGTAAGCTAGAAAAAGTATTATTTTTAAAAAAAATTAGTTAGGAAAATACATTTCCAGTATTTGTTGAAAAAAATCTACATGGATGTGCACAGTTCAAGCCTGTGTTGCTCAGGGTCAACTGTATACACTTTCCTTCAAATTCCAAGAAGGTTAGTTTAATGACAGTCTTATACTGCTATGCAGGGAAGCAGCCTAATAAACTATTAAGTACACTCTGGAGGCAGTCTGCCAGAATTCCTATCCCAGCTTG